TTATCACTAATACAAAATAAAATCAAAAAACCACACGTCTCTTTTCAATTCAAAAAATCATTTTTACAATTTAGTTAAGTTTCGATAAAATATTTTTATTTGGATGTGACAGCTCGACATCTCTGAGAGCAACGACGATTTTTCTATGGCTAACTAAGTGATTTTTTTTAAACAGATAGGAATTGGCTATAACTCGGTAATTTTTCGAAAAAAAAACCGTATTATAGGTTATATCGCTGAAAAGCTTAAAAAATGTCACTTTTCATGAAGTCAAGGCTAACTATGGTTTCCATTTAAAAAACGTATGTTTGTGTCATATGTCAAAAATGAGAAGGGCTTAGACAAAAACAGAGAACACAATCTCATTAAGGATGTAGTTATCTTCAACTTTTATCTGAAACCTTTTTGTCTAAAATACACGCAACGCAGAAATTTTTGGTCAAATTTAAAGTGTTATATTTTTGTTATTTTTAGCCCCATTTTCATGAATTTTTTAGCAAGGTGTATACTAAGGGCTGGCAAAGGTTAGTCTTGGGTCAAGATTTCCGTATGTAAGAAGAGTACAATGCGTTTATAATGTACCGAACAAAGAGAGGACAGTAAACACGTTGCCAAACATATGAAATAAACCGAGAAACTGGGCACATCGAAGAGACGTGGAAGGGGATATAGCAGATTTGTCGCAGTTGACCGGTCGACCCAATCAATACCTCTGTCAGTACTTAAAGTTCTAGGGAAACGTGTACGTCATGCGTTCAGCTTCACGATTTAATTACGTCTCGTGATACTTAATTTGTTCATTTACTAACGAATCGTTGTAATTTTCCCTATAGCTTGAATTTTTTTAAGTGCAAGCTAGAAACACTTGCATTTTTGGTAAAAATAAGTGGAATTGAGTGGGTGTTTGATAGTGGTCGCGCTATTAGAACTCTGAATTCAAAAATCGGTATCTCGAAATCTATTAGAAATAATAGATTGTAGTTTTTTCAAGAACTTTGTTAATATTTCTGCTGTATTTTCTTTGTAGACAGTATGTGAAAATCTTTATCAATAAAAAATTACACGATCGCTGAAAATTGCTACGCTCTAAAAGTAAATGGATGGATTGTTTACAATTTTTGAATAGAAAAAACAACCTTATCGAATTTTTCTTATGTAAACGTATTGTAAAATATCCGATCTTGAAAATAAAAAAAAGTTTCAATATCTAAAGTGGTTTTTGAGTTATGGCCTGTTATGTGTTAAAAAGTTGAGTTTTGAAATTATCGCGATTACTGACGTTTTCTCGTTATAAAAAAAATGACACCCTAACGATATCCTTATAAATCCATTTCAGATGCTCAGAAACATGTCTAATGATTTTATCTCGTTATCTCTTGAAAAAAAAGTATTTTAAAAATAAGCGGTTTGCGATCGTGATTTTACTTTACTTGATCAACGCCGCAACAGCACACCGTCGCGCGTCGCGTCGGTCGGTCGCATTTCTCTCACTCCGACTTAATAAGATCCCTATGCGATTTACTTCCACACATGTAAATGCCGACCCAAAAGTAACAGTTGCCAGCACGGTATAATTATGTCAACTTTAATTCGTAAACTCAGCTTTTTATAAAGTATTTAGTATTTGGCATATAATAACAGCGAAGAAGTACAACTAACTCCTCGATTAACCCTGCATAATACAGGGTTAATCGAGGAGTTGTTTTTACCTTAACTTTAAAACACCCTATTATATATTTTGATATATTAATTCATACAAATTAGAAAAAAGAGCCAAAATTGAAAACTGTTGATGGCAAGCTCATTTCGCTCTTAAAAATTAACCAAGGCATGTATTGACATAATACAAAAAACAAATTGTTCAGAAGACATGGTTCTGACGGTAAAATTATATTTTAAGAAAATTTACACATGAAATTATTGCACAGGGTGTTTTAAAGTTAGGGTAAAAAACAACCCCTCGATTAACCCTGTATAATATGCCAAATACTAAAGATTATAAAAAGCCGAGTTGACGAGTTAAAGTTGACATAATTATATACAGCTTGCTAAAATATTCATGAAAATAGTACTGATATTTTTGGTTTGGTTTGTTTTGACGCCTAGAAACAGCAGCCGATAAATATTCGAATATCTTAAATATTTTGCCAACCAAACTAGCAAAATCAGAATAGTCAACTATTTCAATCATTGTTAATCGCTCCGTATATAAAAATAAACACCATTTTTAATTAAATTCTTCTAACACCCAACAGAACACTCAACCAACAATAACCTGCGAATCATAATCCGGAAAATTACGAAAAGGAAAATTAAAGATATCGATCATTTCCACACACCGATACGTATTATGTCTCTCCCAAGGAAATGGTGTAAAAATCTCCTTTTCACGCGCTTGGGAACACCTGAGAGAAGGGGAAAAGAAATAATGCCCTATTTTGACAGAAACGGGGGGATGGGTTTCCTTTTCGATTAGAGTAGTGCCTCTTGGGATCCTGCTGTTGTGTTGTTGTTTATCGTATTTTCTTTTTCTACGTGTTTATAGATCCCTACAAGCAACAGAAGATGAAAAACGAAGATAAACATTTTTCTTTAATAAATTTAATATTAACTGTCTTAGAGAATATATATGGGGCGTTTACACACATCCACTTAGCATTTAGGTTTCGTAAACATTTAAAAAACATTTTTAATTAGAATTTATTAGAATCGACTGTCAAAAAGCACAAACCATCAACTAAGTATGAAAACCCTTAACATCTCTGTTTTAAGTGTCCAGGTTTCGCATCCGGAAGTCATCACTGGTAGTACACATTTTTTTTTCAATAAGAGGGGGCCATCCTCTGCCGGAAACACTGCGACCTGTGAGGCCTTGAGTGAAATGTTTCTATTGTGTTTTGCAATATACATTGGTAAAATGTTTTCTTCTTTAGATAAACATTCTAATTAAAAATTAATTCTTCTGTTGATTTCTTGTAGTAGAGATCTCTAGCAAATGAACTTACCAAAACTAAAGAAATGTACAACGAACTAGTGGACAGAAAAGACATTCTAATAAATAACAAAGTAATGGAAATAGTAGAAGGATACGTATATTTGGGACAACTAATACACATTAGTACTAATACACAATTGTGTATTAGTTGTCCTAAATATACGTATTCTTCTACTGTTTACATTACTTTGTTATTTATTAGAATGTCTTTTCTGTCTGTCAAATGTTCAATTGTGTATTAGTACTAATGTGTATTAGTTGTCCCAAATATACGTATCCTTCTACTATTTCCATTACTTTGTTATTTATTAGAATGTCTTTTCTGTCCACTAGTTCGTTGTACATTACTTTAGTTTTTGCTAATACACAATTGTGTATTAGTTGTCCCAAATATACGTATTCTTCTACTGTTTACATTACTTTGTTATTTATTAGAATGTCTTTTCTGTCTGTCAAATGTTCAATTGTGTATTAGTACTAATGTGTATTAGTTGTCCCAAATATACGTATTCTTCTACTATTTCCATTACTTTGTTATTTATTAGAATGTCTTTTTTGTCCAAGTTCGTTGTACATTACTTTAGTTTTTGCTAATACACAATTGTGTATTAGTTGTCCCAAATATACGTATTCTTCTACTATTTCCATTACTTTGTTATTTATTAGAATGTCTTTTCTGTCCACTGGTTCGTTGTACATTACTTTAGTTTTTGCTAAGTTCATTTTGAGAGCCACTTTATTGCTGGCTGTATTTAGTTTGTTAATTTGTGTTTGTAGTTCTTCAGGGCTATTGGCAATTAGGACAATGTCATCAGCAAACCTTAGATGGTTCAGATATTCTCCATCTATTTTTAATTCTTTGCTGGTCCAGTACAGTTGCCGAAAGATTTCTTCTAATGTTGCTGTAAACAGCTTTCGGGATATCGCGTCTTCCTGTCATACTCCTTTGCCAGTTGGGAACTCCGTTTTTTTTATATATCATTAGTCTTGATTTGGATTCTTAATATATATTGGCAGTAGTTTCTATATAAGGCCTGGCAATACCTTGTTTCGCAAGGGCTTCTATTATTGCCTTAGGATATATCGAGTCGAAAGCCTTCTCAAAATCTATAAAGGCTATGGCTAGTGGAAGTTCGTATTCTTTTGTTCGCCTGATAGTTTCTCTTAGTGTATATATGCAATCAATCTTGCTAAAGCCGCTTCTAAAGCCTGCTTGGTCTTGTGGCATCAATATCACAAGTGGCGTAACTAATTTTTTGAGATTTTTCAAGAAAGCGGTTTAAAGTTTTTTTACGACTTTTGTTTCAAAACTAACCAAAATATATTGAAGCCACTGTATTTTTTTGATAAAAACACAAAAAAAGGAAAAGAGAATATAAGATTATCAAATTTTATATTTAGCAAAGCCTTTGAAAATATAACATTATATTACTAAACAATTACAAATGTCACTGTCACAAAATACTGAAATGAATTTTAGGTTAAAAGTTCTTTACTATGTTATATTTTAGCTGTTGAAGTGTAAGTTTGTTTTAAAATATGCGACTACTAATTGCAACTTAATAACAATGTTGAACATGTCTATACAAATTCCTTTATAATTTGGAACAAGAAATCTATACCTGAGTTAATAAGCAAAATTTGCTCTTACCCTAAGCGTTTTCACTTGTTCATATAAACATTTTTTTTCAATTGTTCATATAAACTCATGGTACTTACTCGAGGTCACGGACGCTCCGTCGCATGTGAAAGCGCTGTAACAGCGACGGAGCGTCCGTGACCTCGAGTAAGTACCATGAGTTTATATGAACAATTTCACATGGGCGCGTATGCTCCATCCGACGGAGTTTATTCGACGGCTACCTTGAAAAAACACGACGGACGGCCCGTCGCGGCCGGTCCGTCGCATGTGAAAACGCTTAAGTTTAACATAAAATTTTATATATAAAAACGAAGCCTTGTGAAATTTTGTAATTAGCGTGCTTATTCGAACAATTTTTTTCAGGTATCTTGGATGCGTAAGCGTGATCTGCATATTTTGACCTCCGGAATACACACCTACACTGGAGACGGAAGATTTAGTGTTCGCCATCCTGAACACAGTGATGACTGGGATCTACACATCGATTACGTACAGAAAAGGGATGCAGGAGTGTATGAATGTCAAGTGAATACTGAACCTAAGATTAGTCTACCTGTGATGCTCTATATTGACGGTTAGTATTGCTCTATGTTAGGGATTTTTGAGAATATCTCTATAATATATATTTTATGTTTGCTACTTAATACTTTGTATTTTCAATACCGCATATTTTTTCTAAATATTTTAAAAATATTTAAAAACAAGAGCTTGTATGTTTAATAAACAGCAACCAAAGTACGCTTGCAATGCTAATTTGAAAGTGATAAAAACTATTAAAAGCACACTTTTTATTATTAAGAATCTCGACAACTTATTACTTTATATTTCTATCAGGAAATATCATTGTAGCCCTGGTGACAGTAGTATATTAAAATTATTATCCATCATCGTAGATAAACGAAACAAGTTTAGACTGGAATGCTCGGCTTGCCGCCAAAACTTACTATTGTTTTGGAGTGCATACGTACAAATCTGATCTTGTTAACACTGGTCTAATATTTGCTATTATAAATATGCTATATTTACTATAAATATAGTAAATATTTTTGAATCTTTTCTTTATTTTTTTTTATTCTTTGACATTGTAACCATTTATAAATGTTTATTTTAAACAATAAGACTGACAATGTAATTTGTATACTTGTTTTGTATTTTTTTTTGTTTGTTTACTTTACCTTTGTCTACAAATTGTAAAAAAAATTGACAATGAAGGCATTTATTTATTTAAATAGCTAACTCCATTATTCCTAATTTTACAGGTGAGCAATAAAAACGGTACAAAACATATGTACACATGTAGCATAAGTATATGTATACGTTAATATTATAGATAACAATATTTGTTGGGGAACAAAAAAACTCAATATTTAGTTAAAAATTTAACGTAAAAATTATATATCAAGCGTATTATTTAATTAACGTAAAAATAGAGTTAGCAGGTTAACACGTTTTATTGACAAAATACTTTACTTTATTATGTTTTTTGTAACAAGCACTATTGTACTATTATTTAAAGATTTACTTCATTTTTCAAAAAATTCTAGTATCATTTTTCATAATTAATGAGGTTATGGTTACCATTTTCTAAAATTTATGTAACATTTTTAAAAAGTTAATTATTTTTATTCCGAAAAATCATATAAACGAGAGTTATATGTCATAATTATTTACGCAAAAATATTTTTGACGTAAAAAATACTGTTCATAAATAAATAGGCCTTTAATTAAAAAAATGTTTAATTAATGAGTATTAAAACCCCTGTTAATTAAAAGGATCAGATATCTGACGAAAATAAATATTTAGAAGATTTTTTGTGTAATAAATGAGCTAATTAAAATTATGTAAACAAAATGTAAATCCGACAAAAAATGAACAAAAAGATTATTATCATGGATTTGATATATTCTGGAAAAAATGAAAGTCGTAAAATTTAATATTAATATTTTTGAAGGTTCGGTATACAGAGAATTATAATTTCATTCTTAAGTAAACATAATTTATTTACAAATAAATAATATTTAAATGAGTTTATATATTAATAGTATTTTTAAATTGTTTTTCAAGTTTTTTCACAATTTTTTTTTATTTAGTAACTTCATGGCAAGTATATCCCAATAACAAATGTCTGTCAAGTACACGAGTCGTCTGGATCCAACTTTAGAGAGAAACAGAAAATTGGTATTTTTAAGAACAAAAAATCTGCCAGATGAGTGTCATAAACTAGTGTCTATTTTATTTCTGGAAATAGAATAATCTGATTTAATAGGAAGTGTTTTTAAAATATTTACAATTAAACATATGTAAAGATTACAAATAAAACATATGTAACCATATGTGAAAAGTTAGATACTACAGGGCACTTACTGGTATTGTACAATCATTTTGCTATAGCTTATATTTTTATAGAGTACTAATAATGTTTATTTAATTTTGGTAAACTAAATTTTAAATTTAAACAGTAATGGATAAATCCACCAAAAAAAATTAAATTAATGGAATTGAAATCATAAATCCAATATATTAATTAAATTATCATTTAATTAGTTTACATACTCAATATCGCTACTTCTAGTACCTCTATATAATTTCACTCCATTACAGTAAAGGAGAGAATAAAATACTAATTATTTTACACAAATAATTTGAGTAACCTAATTTACAAGGTAAAATAATCATCCACAAACTAGAATCAATTAACCTGAGAGGTGATTAAAACGGTTGTTTAGATAATGTCCAAACAATAATTATCGGCGAATATTGAGAATTGATGAACATTATTCATTTTTATTTGCATACAGAGTGATTAAAAGGTTTTAAAAACTATTAAATTATAATAATAAATATACAGCATGCCGCAATGCGTACTGTAGCAACGGGGGAATCCGTAAGGGGGAAAACAAAATTCACGGCGAGCGAGCAATTCATGGGCGTGCTATAAATATTTTGAGTAACATTACTTACTTATAGAAAAATTTCAGAAATACCAAATCAATTTTACTTTTTTAACGTCTTTCTACGTAATTAAAACAAAATCTTTGTAAAAATTAGAAAATCAAGAAGAAAAACAATAAACAGTCAATAAGATCACGCAACTATTTTAATGATAATAACTGTACTGTTCTCTAAGCTCCATCTACTGCCGATTTAATCAATCTTTCTCGTAAAAAGTTAGACAATGCGGCCGTCAATAAAAATTCGACAAATTTGCAAGTAGCGAATTAATGAATGGGCGGAGTGTGTTTCACAGTAATATACTCTGCCTCAAATAGTTTAAGTTTTAGTAATAAGTCCGATTAAATGTATATCTCCGAAACTAAAGTTTCAAAAAAAGTAATACAATATATACAAATTCATTTACCCAGTAGTAGGTATAAAAAACATTTTTGGTAAACTCTGTCTCAAATAGTTTCTGAAAAAAAATAATTTTTTAAAAAGGTCCGATTAAATTTATATCTCCGAAACCAAAATTTCAAAAAAAGTCATACTATATCTACAAATTCATTTACCTAGTAGTACGTCCACGTGGGTTAGGTAGTGTTTTGTAGTAAATTATATTAGTCACACTCCAATATTGTGTCTGCATTCTTGAAATTCCTTTCATAGACACAAATACAGTAGATGTACTTTACTTTTTTTATAGTATCTAGTATATTACCTCGGAGAATCTAGTATAATTTGTAACTTGAAATGTATTTAAGAAATACATATTTTTGCAAAATAAAACATTAAATCACCACAATAGACCAAAAGGCTTTTACTTTTGCACTAGACGCGCGTTTCGCTAACCATTTTAGTATCATCAGCAGATGATTAAAACTAAATTAATATCTACAAATTGATAATTTATATATTAGTAGTGGCGAGTAGGCGTGGCAAAAACTATTCAAGCGAGTCAAAACCAACCGAGCGTAACAATTAATTACCTACGAAACTAGAGCAGTAGGAACGGAGAACTGGATGGAATTGGGCCATTGTCTCTGTTCATACTATCTTTACATTTATTAATTTTGACGTTTTCAGTGATTTTGTGTATTGTTGTGATTTAGCGTTTTATTTTGTTGACATTTATATCTTTGTAATGTAACGTTTTCTTGACACAATGCAAACGGCAGCTTTTCGTCTTTGGGAGCAGTCGTAGGTTCGTTTTTTCTTTTTTTATTTTTTTTATTAGGTGTTATAATTAATCAATAAAACAATAATTATTGGGCGCCAGGACATTCACTCAGAAATAATAGATCTCTTTACCCCAACTTAAATTTATTTATAATTAAAAAAATATTAGACAATTGATGTGGATGAAGTTAGGTTTTTAAAATGAATTAATATTTAAGAAAAATAAGTAATCAACATTTAAATGTATGATAAAAAAAAATAGTATCACTTGCTTTGTTGATCAAAAATCATTGACATTATTAATATAAAATTACGCAAAATAAAGTTAAATAAGTACCTCAAACTAACGCAGTTCACGAACCTTGTTGTATGCGCACATAATTCCGTCAATCAATCAAAAGTTAATTAAATAAATATGTCAAGTGACACCATCACAAAATACTTGACAAGATATTAAAATATATAAAAATTTGTATATTTAAAATTAAGAAAATTATATTTTAATAATGAAATTCAAAATTGATATCTAATAATTACATAATTAATTACGTAATTCGTCAACAGTAAGTAAATAGATTTGAAATGAGTTATTAAAAAAATGTGAAATCTGGCCTGATTATCCGGTGCAATTCCAGGCTTTGGCTCGTCCTTCTGGATGGTGTGTGGACGCTAGGTGTGGGAGCTCATCCCCAATCTACCACAGCCTCGAACAGCCCCTTACAATACCACCAGCCATGTGGAAATCAAACATGGATCATAGATACAGGCTCTCGTACCTCAAACCACCAATCACGACATATAACTCGCCATGTAACTGGGCGGTAAAACCCTGGAAACGACACAACTTATGCACAAAATGCATTTTAGAAATTTTAGAACTTACCTCACAATGCTGAGGGTTTACTCAAAAATTAAATTCATGACAGGACAACCAAAACCACGTTTAGAAAATCTGTAAAGAGATAAGGTTGAACCAAAAGAGTAAAAATGTGATGAAGATCAAACTTACCACAAAAATACCCATGAAAACTTAAAATTGATTCCTTCCCCAAATGCCAGGAACCACTAGGACTACATTCCAAAAGTTAATAGAATTAAAAAGTTTAAACTTTTTCGGATGACTTCAGATAAGTATGTCGATGTTTACGCCACGAAATCTGAATCAAAAATGGTGACTTCCGATGGTCAAAAAGATGCTCCAGTTCTGCGCCGACAAGGGCAAGTACGATCCACAGAGTGTCCGAAATTAGTCAGAACTAATTCGGTAGGGTGTATGTTGGGTTGCCAATAGTATCGTTTTATTAAAACGTTACAGTAATATAATAAAAAATTGTATTCATTCTATGCAGAATATATTTAAAGAACAAAAATAAATATACCAGGTGTTTCTCAAAAGTGGACAACCCCTATAACATTTTTATTTTCTCAGAGAAAAAATCGAGTTTTGATATGTTAGTACA